TACTAACTGGATATGAAATCACAATGCTATTTGAGTTATTGTTTTTACATGTTGATTTTGAAAATTCATAACGGTAATTATGGAATGAAATATTTTATATTAAATGAATTTGCCTAAACTAATGGTTTCATTAGTTGCTTTATAATTTTTACTAACATTCGATTTTTCATATTAGTGATTAGTGTGATATTCTTACTGAACTAATATAGTTCATCCCCTTATTTAACCATTTCAGATCAAGAATACCAAAATCTAAATTCTGAACAACAAGAGGGTTGCGAGTAAATGTTACCTCTCGAACCCCATCAAAGTTGTCAATGGAGGTTAATCCCATAGGATTTTAGTTTCATTTCTATTTATGTTATTTTAATTTTTTTTAAAAAGAACATTTTCGTAATTTTAATGGGTACTCTAATTTATTGTGTAAGAAATATAAATCATAAATTACTATTTATTTATGTTATTTCAATATATATTCTCTTTCTTAAGGTTTTGGGCATTTACAATTAAAAATAAACTAAAAATTATCTTATTCACAATAAAAATAACGTAGTGTTTCTATCGTATAATCTAAATATATAAAAAAACAATATTGAGAATTAGTATGTATTGATTTTTTAATTTTTTGAAATAATTTTAAAACATTAATTGATTAAAAATTTAAAAAATCTTAAAACAAGAATTATGATGATAGTTGAACTCCACAATTAAGGATTTATAAGAATTTTAAGATTTGAGTATTAAGGTAAATATAATATTTAATTAGTAATAGTTATCTATTAAAAAAATTTAAATATAAAAACAGTATTTAATTTTGTTTTGATTATATATTTATATGTTTAAATTTTTAGTTAACTACAAACTCTGAAACTCTACACTATATAATTTTGCTAACTTAGTCTACATATCATATAATATTTTTCTAAAAAATAAAATATAATAATTTTTTATATTTTTATTAAAAATATTATTCTTATATTTAGGTAAAATTATATTTCATGTTATTTCTTATATAATTCTTCTAAAATTATATCATGTAGACAATATAGACTAAATATCTAGGCTAGCTTTATTTTAGCTCAGATTTAATAATTTACTTTTAAAACTTTTTTATGCTAAATTTGCATTATAAAATTGTAAAAAAATAAAAATAAATAACAAAAGTAAAAAAGTAAAACAATCATAAGATAATAATTTGAAGAATTTTACGTAAATGTTTAAAAAAATTAAAACTAAAAAATAAAATTATCAATGAAATTAAAATAATAAAACTGAAATGATTGAATTATCGCAAAAATAAATGATTGAAGTGATAAAAAAAAAAAAACTAAAAGAAATAAATTTGTAAATATTATTTTTAAAAAAAATTAAAAAAAAAAAAAAGAAAAAAAGTCGTTATTATTTGGTATTAATGAGCTGTAATATAAAGATAAAAGAGACTCCCAGTTGGGAAGCACGTGAGTTGCGTGGTCGTCTATCCTACCGTATGCGGAAATGCCTTTTTCTTTGACTCCTTAGTTATTAAGGCGTGACTGAAATTCAAATTTTAATTACTTGATTTCTGACATATATATATTCCTTAGATTTTATTAGTCTTATCCTAATAACCAATTTTCAGTTTATCCACAACAAACACATATATCTATATCTATATATATATATATATATATATATATGCAAGTAACTTTTGTTTTTAGTATAACCATTTATTTAATATTTTGTATATATCCCATTTTAAAATCTTTTGAAGAAATTGGTGTTATGTCCATTCCATGAAGTTGACATGGAATTGCACAATAATGGTGTCTTGTTTTTGTATGATTGATTTTGAGTGACAATTACTTTATAATAATAATATGGGTAACCCCCTAACTCACTACTTGTTCAACGGTTCCTTGAATCTAAAGTTCACTCGAGGAGAAAAATGATGGGAAGCTTGGATGGATTACAAGGTCATCACCAGCTTCAACGGCCTCCTTTCTCTTTCCTTCTTTCTTTCTTTCACTTTCTATTTATATTTAGTTCATAAATTATGCAAAAGATTGTAAATTAACTTTTATTGTTGTCGGGTATTATTAAATTTATTCATAATATATAATATATATTTCATAAAATTTTAAACTAATTTTACTCTATGTATTTAATTTCATTAGAGGAAATGGGTATTCAAGATTGTTTTAATGGAGAAATCACAGAGCATCTTCTTGGAACCAAATATAGAATTAACATAAAGTTTGAATATTTTTTCATGCAAATTTTTATGTAATTTATATTGT